ATAACATAACATAACATAACATAACATAACATAACATAACATAATATAACATAACATATAACACAACACAACACAACATACCACAGCACGATAAAAGACATCATAACGCAACATAACACAACATAGGAGAAAGAGTCGGAAGGAAAATGTGCTCATGCAGCCTCATCTATGTAGCCGACCAATAGTTAGGCGGTTATGCGAGTCACATGGTTTCAACATGGCTTCAATCGATGTAAACAAACGCTCGACACGAACTTCAGGATATATTTAGTGACGTTATAGTACAAACTTTTGATGTAAAAAAATTACCTACCGTTCTATTCCAACTTCGTGGCAATTTCTTCGAGTGCCGCTTGTCGCTTGTCCCTATCCTTGAATTCTACAGATGATACATCGTATAAACACTGATATTCCGGCTATAATTCAATGAATTTCTTCTCCAACTTCTGCCACTCCGCAGGGCGCTGCCATGTTGAAATCATGTGACTCGCTTAACCGCCTACTATTGGTCGGCTACATAGAGGCGGCTCAGCACATTTACACACACGACCCGCACGCGAATTTTTTTTCCCCACTTGAGTTCCGGACCCACCATAGATAGTCTTTTGTAATATATGGTTCGTATATATATGGTTGGATTATAGGGAGTGTTAGGGTTAGGGATAGGTGGTATTCATTTTACATTGTTGCTTCAAGGAAGTCGAGTGAATGGAGTGCGCTGATTGGCTGTGGTCCGGAACTCAAGTGGGGGAAAAAATTTCGCGACCCGCACACGGTGTTAAACCATGCACACGTGGAAGAACATATCAAACCTGTGTGATATTTTCCACACGATCAATCGTGGAAAGTGGCGCAGCAAGTTCCACAGCGTGCGCGGCGGGCTTAAGTGACGTTTTATTTCGCCCATATCGTAATATGGCCGCCATCCGCACAGCTCACTCTGAACAAAATCTGGCACCTCTCTCTCTATACGAACATAGGCAATTAATTTCTCTAGTTGTGGAAAAAGATCTATAAATGCGTGTTCACGATGTGCGTGCATCCAACCCTGTATATGATGACACGCGAGAGAAACCGTAAAAGCTGCCTGCATAGGCAGGTATCCACTCTCTAGACGCGGTTTCACTGTAGTGGTACGGCACGGACCAAAGTGTCCGTTATAGATAGGTATCCGTTATAGATAGGTATCCGTTATAGATAGGTGTCCGTTATAGATAGGTGTCCGTTATAGATAGGTATCCGTTATAGATAGGTGTCCGTTATAGATAGGTGTCCGTTATAGATAGGGTTCCGTTATAATAGGTATCCGTTAAAGATAGGTGTCCTGTATAGATTAATGGTATCCGTATAAGGATAGGTATGCGTGGTATAAATAGGATATCATCGTATAGATAAGGGTCACGTTATAGATAGTAGCCGTTAATAGGGAAGGTGTCTGTTATAGACTAGGTGTACGTTTATTAGATAGTATCCGTTATAGTACTAGGGTTAACCGTTATATGATAAGGTTATCCTTATAGAAGGTGTCCGTTATAGATAGGTGCTGATATAGATAGGTGTCCGTTATAGAAGGTGTCCTTGATAGATAGTATCCGTTATAAGGATAGTTAATCCTTATAAGATAAGGTTCGCAGTGTAGTAAGATAGGTGTCCGTTAACGATAGTCGTTAAAGATAGGTGTCAGTTTATAGATAGGTGTCCGTATAGATAGGATTCCGTATAGATAGGTGTCCGTTATAAGATAGGAGTGTCCGTTATAGATAGTATCCGTTAACAGATAGGTGTCTCGTTATAGATATTGTCCGTTATAGAAGGTATCGTATATAGAGAGTATGTTGTCGCGTTATAGCTAGGTGTCTTATAGATAGTGTCGCTGTTTATAGATAGGTTTTACGTTATAGAAGGTGTCAGTTATAGATAGGTGTCCTGTTATATTGATAATTTCCGTATAAGAAGGTGTCCGTTATAGGATAGGTATCCGTTATAGATAAGGTATCCGCTTTATAATGATAGCTGTCCGTTATAATGATAGGTGTCCGTTATAAGATAGGTGTCCGTTATAGATAGGTGTCCGTTCTATAGAGGTATCCGCTAACACATGACACACTGTAGTAGCGATGCGCTAACAGAGCATATATCTGATCATGCTTGTGGAAAACCCAACACGTACACGTGTGCGTTAATAGCACACGCACGAACGCGGCACGCATGCACACGCACGCACGCACGCACGATCAACATGATGGCACATGGCACGCACACAACACACAGCACCACACACAGACACGCAACACACAACCACCCACACACAAGTGGCTGGTCACACAACACCTCACACAATATAACGCAACGCACACGCGGTGGTATCGTTGTGCGTCGGGGGTCGTGGTCCACACACACGCACACAGCGCCACACACACCCCACACGCACAGACGCCACAACGCACACGACACCGCACACACACACACACCACACGCACACCGCGACTCGGCGACACGACACGCACAACACACACACAGCAACACGTACGGACGCACGGCACACCACAACAACAGGGCCACGCACGCACGCACATCACCAAACAACACACCACCGAGTCCACGTCGTAACCTAACACAGTACGCAGCCTACAACGCTTTATTACAACAACGCGCAATCTCCCAGATTCGCGTCACATGTCAAACACACAGTACTAACCACTATAGAAAGGCCACCACACCAGCTTGTCACACCGATCGAAAACCACAGCACCCTAACTTCAGCAGTAACAACAACAGTCGCATTTTATCAGGCCACGCTGATTAGCTTCTTCAATAAAAATAAAAAAAGCAAGACAATTTCGGCTAAAATCGTGCGAATTGAAAGGGTGTAGAGACGCACGCGCATAATAATCGAATGCTATTCATTTGAAACGCGACACAACACGCCAGCAGCAGCGCGGTGGTGTGTGTTCGGATGTGTGTGTGGCGTGCGTGCGTGCGTCGTAAGCAGTATGCGTGCGAGCACGTGCTACGTGTGGTGTGGGGGGCGTGCGTGCGTGCGTGAGCGTCGCGCGGTGTGCGTCGTGCGTGTGGTGTGTGTACGCGTGACGTGCGTGCTGGTGTGGTGTGTCGTGCGTCGGCGGCGGCTGTGTGTGCGTGCGTGCGTTGGTTGTGTGTCGTGCGTGCCGTGGTGGTGTGGTCGTGCGATGTTGCGCGTGCGTCGTGTGATTGGTGTTGATGCGTGGCGTAGTGGAGCGTGCGTGTGGTGTGTGTGTGTGGTGTGTGGTGCGTGCGTGTCGTGCGTGCGTGGCTGCGTGCGATGCGCAGTTCCTAATCGAATCATACATATGAATATCATTACAACGTATTTATACGCTATCGTCATATTTAAATATCCTAACATGTTATTATCCATACTACGAGCCAGCTGTCAATAATCAGGACAACTTTTGTAAGACTGCTAACAATCCATCTTATTAGCACCACCCACTCCAGTCCACTTCACGCGCACTCGTGTTGTACATGGACTAAAACACTAAAAAACTACAGCCCAACATTAACATAAGGATCTACATCAAAGGAAACTGCAAAAATGTGGCATTTTAATGGACGCGAAGGTCCGATTCTAGAAGAAGTGATCTTAAATAGTTTCTGCACCGGCCGAACGTATAACAATAAACAGTAATAACATAAAAAATAAAAATAAAATACAGAATGGCACACACACATGCGCTATTCTAGTCACTTCTCCCTTTGATTTGCTATCTGACTAAATAACGATATGACTGAATCAGGCTTTCGGCGGAGGTTCTGCGTTCGGGGTGACGAAAAATGACAGCCCAGTGACTTTTAAAACTTAACACCTCGAATACAGACACGTATAGACTCGAATTGCAGTAAAATTAAACCATCGATCAAGTCACATATACATCACAGCACAGAATGTATATATATAATTAATATATATATATATGATATAATGTGTGTGTGTTTGTATATCGTATAGGTGTAAAAAGCGGACCGTACATAAAATGTGGGAAACGAAGAAACAAGACAACCAAAACAAAGCGATACGAATATACGAAATACTTAGATGTTTTCACCGCTAATGGTGATAAATCTGCACACTGCTACGTGTGTCACACAACGTAATCCCACGACGCCAACCACGCACGCACGCACACATACGCATGCAGCGCAACAAACAACACGCCAATAAGGTGAGTCACACACCAACTACACACACGCAATCGCAGCACATACACGATACCACGGCCTACGCACACACAAGACGCACGCCACGCACGAGCGTACAGCGCACGTCACGCAGCGCACACATACGTCATAGCACGCACCAGCAGGTGCGCGGTCTGTGGCGCCAAATGTAGGCCGCCTGTTATGGGAGTCGGCCACGCCCCGGCCCACAACACGCACACAGCACGCACGGCACGGCGTGTTCACGCACGCAACAACACACCAGCAAAACACACACACGTACACCGCACGGCACGCAGCGGCACGAGCAGCTATCGCACATCACGGCACACACACGTACACGCCCAAAGCCGCACGCACGCACCGCTCGCTGCACACACAGCACACGCAGCGCGCTAACGGCACGCAATGTACGACTCACGCACGTACGCACTGCACGCACGCACGCACAGTCACGAGTCACACAACACCGCACACGTCTCGTATCGCTCGTACACGCACATGCACACGCACACCAGGCAGGCAACGCGCGCGTACACGCACGCACGCACGCACGCAACTACACGTACGCACGCACTTCGATCGCACACACCACACGCACACACACACACATCATCACACTACACGGCACGCACGCACGCACGCTAACGCATAGCGCGCGCACGACCATCACGCACAGCACTCACAGTCACCAGCACGCACGCACGCACCACCGCACGCACGACGACACACACACACACACCATCATGCAACACACGATCAGGTACACATTTATAGGAATATATAATATTTCAAACTATACGCAACAACAACAGCATAAAAACATAGTTGGATAACGATTGCCAAGAGAGTGAAATCATATTTAGAGAACACTACAGGCCAGGCCTATGGGCCATTTCCTTCCGACCAGTGTGTCTCGTATGAGAGGGAGAGTGTGTTGCTCAGGGAATCCGCTAGAAAATCTAGGACCCCACACGGTGGCCAGCACCGATTCGGTATAGTGTATTCTTGTCTACAGTATAGCATAACGTGATAAACCGGCTGGCAACAGCTCGACCGCACGGCATTTTCATACTATACTCCAATTATGAATAATTAACTTAACTAATTAACTTCCGAGGGAAACTGAAATATTACATTAATCGAGTTTGGAATCTGTTACGGTTTGACATCGAGCACTTAAAAAATAGGTCATTATAATTTTAACAGCCACTGGGAGATCAGGGGAAAGGAAGAATTTCACAAGAACTAACTACGTTACCAACAAAACCATCTTATTGATTGTAAATCTGGCATAGCATAAATACATAATACAGCCCAACAACCACAGCAACAACAAAATTTATATAACATAATCTGCAACGGCAAACCCTTCGTTTATCGACACACTCAGAATCTATTTCTGAGCAATCACCAACAGCAGGGCTTTGCATCAACAAGTTAACATCAGCCTCGGACAGCAGGCAGTAGCAGCAGAACATTAATGCAAACCACACTTTCTCTATTCGGCAGCACGTCATACAAAAACAGCTGCTGCACAATAAAACAATCGTCTCACTTCCAACTACTTTTTTACGACAAAAGCTGAAACCATGGAAAGCGATTTCTCGCGCAATATACTGAAGCATCTATTGCAGAGAGGCTGCAGTGCTGATGCGGAACAGGAATGGTAGAGACTTGGAAACAATATAAGATGTCTTATGCCTCGTCAGCACACCCCAAGCTGCCAGCAACTACAACCAACAACCAAGGCAACCATTTGCCCCCCTAGCAGGAGCAGAGATGACAACGCACCTTTTTGCCTCACGTGATCAACAGGCTAGCCAATCAGCATCACGATAGAGCATTCTAAACATCATGCTTAGTATCGGCGTGCCATAAGTTTACATTTTAGCATGCATCACATACAAACTGGGTTAACCTGACTACCTGTCAACAGTATCCAAGGGAAAGTGGTTATTTTTCTCGGAGGGATAGGTCCGTTTTCCCACTGGATGGGTGCCCTTGTTGTAACACACCCACAATGAGGGTTACCTCATTCATAACATGGTTAATTACTCGAGGGAGCCATGGAGCCAATATTATACATCGCTCTCAAAACCGCGACCGTCGGCACCACTAGTGGCGCCCCCATTTGGTGGTTTCTCGTCCTTGTGTTTATCCATCTTCAGCTTGGCTTTCTTCAGCTTCTGTAGAAGATCCTTGACCAGTTGAGCTGCCTGCTTTGAATCACCTCTGCCATCTGAAATATAACACCAACTCGCTACATAGTGAATTTAACCTGGAACGGGCCTTAAAGTGGATAAACCTCGCAACAAAAAGCCTATATAGACCTACTGTGAGCTCGTCTATGTTGCGAAAATTCACTACAACTCATTTGTATTGCTACTTTCATAACATTTCTTCTCAAAATCTAAACGAAATAACTTTTACGAAAGTAACTTTTACGAAAGTAGCACCACGGTGATGTCTACACATCCGGGACACAGCGGAGCGATCGGCTCAATTCATAAACAGTTCCTTTCTATGATAAAACAAGTTATAATTCATTATTCGATGTTTATTCAGCACAAAATTGTGAAATTTGTTTAAATCATATTGTTATCCATATTACTTATGCAATCAGGAAACAAATATAGCGTTTTCGTTCCAGGAACTATTTGCGCTAGCGTAGGGCTACAGCTAGCTGCGTGACATGACTTCGTCCGACGCAATTTTGAAAATCCCAATGTTTGTAGCACTTCTCTGGCTCAATGAGAACATTTCGCGATGTTTGCACACTACAAGTATGCTCACAGTATGTCTATATAGGCTTTTTGTTGCGAGGTTTATCCACTTTAAACTCTTCCCCCAAACGAAGGATTCCATGCTGAGATCAGTGTACGTATTGACTTTCAGAGACACTAAGTGGGAAAAAAATTTTCTTCTCCGATTCGAGGGCCACATATAATAAGCTTTCCTTGTCTTTCAATTCTACCATGCCAGCTCCATCAGGGTCATGTGTGCTAAAGAATTTACTAGTTATCCAACTGGTCTATTTAACGTATATTACCAAATGATATTACAAGATAATAATCAATCAAAACTGCCGACATTCCAAGCCCACCACTACCAAGCTTCAGCCAGTGACTGTGAACAATCTATGTGAATATACAATCAGTGAGCAGCTGTTCTGTGTATGGTCTAGATCGGCAGGCACTTACTAGCGACGACTTTCTCTACGAGTTTCTGTAACTCGGCTTCGGACATGTTTGTAATGGCCGCCAGCTTCACGAGAAAGCTCTTCTTCTGATCCTGAAAGCAGGCAATAGCAGAGCTGCTCTATACACGCATATATGTGTGTACACACATTTACACACACGCATAAAGGCACGCACGCACGCATTCACGCACATACAGACAGACAGACACACGCACGCACGCACGCACGCACGCACGCACACACACAGGTACGAACGCACGCAAACACAGAAAAAGATGAACACACGCACGCACTCACACACATACACACACGCACAATGACGCACGCACGCAAACACAGGCAGACACACCCACGCACGCACGCACTCACACATATGATCAGGCTTGCATAAACACACTCACACACACTCATACCGCACATGTATGCAAACACTGGCACGTGCCTGCAATAAAAATACCAGATTAAATAGAACGAAAGCTGTCTGAAATTCACGCACTGAGTGAAAAATGTAAAATGTCTGCGCATGCGCGCTTTCTATGTTTGGTCCACGAGTAGTTTCTTCAAAATTAAACTGACTCTCACGTCAGCCGCTGTCATTTCAATCTCCGGCTCATGAACACATGAATCAATCTGTCACAAGCTGCTTGCCTCTGCAAATTTTCCAGTTACAAAACATCCTTCCCCGCTCTCTCTCTCTCTCTCTCTCTCTCTCTCTCTCTCTCTCTCTCTCTCTCTCTCTTCGCTCTCTCTCTCTCTCTCTCTCTCTCTCTCTCTCGCTCTCTCTCCTCTCTCTCGCTCTCGTCTCTGTCTCTCTCTCTCTGTTCTCTCTCTCTCTTCTCTTCGTCTCTTCTCTCTCTTCTCTCTCTCATCTCTCCGCCTCTCTTCTCTCTCTCTCTCTCTCTCTCTCTCTCTCCTCTCTCTCTCTCTCTAACACACACTCCACATAATGAAAATATTTTGCATTCAACACGACATTTTCAACGCTCGAGTTCAATGAACACCATGCGTCCTTTCTTTCGCTAACATTTTTTCCCCCATTTTTCAACGGTAACTTTTCACGGAAGGATTTGACAATCAATACCCCTGCTGCAATTTCGTACCCTCATCTGCAGACGAACAAAGCGAGAATCACATGACTCAGAGAGAGGCCTATACCATCAACCTTAATTAGGCCAAGGATTTAACTGCCACGATTTTGCGAGCTGAACACTAGTTTATAAATGAGACAGTGCGACAAATTAAAGACAGCAACATGCGCCTGATCTAACACAAAGCCTACGATTACAGCGGTGCTACTTACAAATTTCGCATACCGCACCAAAAACTTTTTGTTGGCGGAGCACGCACTGCACGCCAGCGCCACGCGCGCACACAAAACGCCCTGCCACGCAGCACACAAACGTCGCTTGGCACGCACACACGCGCGTGACACAAACGCCTGCACGCACGCACACAAACTTGTCGGCCACGCACGCACACAAACCAACGCCGCACTGCTGAACGCGCCACACAACTCGCGCGCATCACAACGACGTCTTACACGCACACGCACACAAACGCATGCACGGCGCGCCACAAAACGCCTGCCGCACGCACACAAACGCCTGCACGCGCGCACACAAACGCCTGCCCACGCACGCACACAAATCAACCTGCACGCCGCGCACACAAACGCCTGCACCGCCCACCCACAACCCACGCCTGCACTACCACGCACCCGCACGCGCGCCAACACAACGTCTGATTGCGTGCACACAAACGCCTGAACGCACGCACACAAACGGCTGCACCGCACCCACACAAACACATGGACGCTGCGCACACAAACGTCTCTGCACGCAACGCCGGCACACAAACGCCAGCACACCAAAACGCCTGCACTCGCGCACCACAAACGCGGACGCGGGCAACACAAACGCATGCTACCGCGCGCACACAAACGTCTGCACGCCGCGCACACAAGACCGCCTGCACGCACGCACACAAAACGTCTTGCACGCACGCACGCACACACATGCACGCACGCACACAAACCCCGCCCACGCGCGCACACAAACGCATGTTGGACTCGCGCCACACAAACGCATGGACTCGCACACACAAACGCCTGCACGCACGTCACACAAACGCCTGCCAGCCCACGCACACAAAGTCTGTCACGCGACGCAACGCACAACACAGTGCACGCGCTTGCACACAAGACGCATAGGACGCGCGCACACAAACGCCTGCCACGCTGTGCACACAAAACGCCTGCACGACCCACACAAAACGCGCTGGACGCACGCAACACAACGCGCCTGCACGCGCGCACACAAAACGCTGCTGCCACCGCGCCACACAAAGCGACTGGACTGGCGCACACAAACGTCTCTATCACGCACGCAGCCACACCACAAACGCCTGCCACGCCCGCGCACACAAACGTCCTGCGACGCACGGCACACAAACGTCTGCACCGCGCCACACAAACGTCCTGCCACGGCGCGCACACAAACGCCTGCACGCACGCGACGCACACACACGCCTGCCCGCGCGACAACACACACACGCGCTGCACGCGCGCACACAAACGTCGTGCTCACGGCCACGCACACAAACGCCTGACACAGCGCGCACACCACACGCCTGCACGCGCGCACACACACGCCTGCAACGCGCGCACACACAAACGCACTGCACGCGCGCCACACAAACGCGGCTGCACGCGCCGCACACAAAACGCGCTGCACCGGCGCACACACGCTGCCACGCCACGCACACAATACGCCCTAGCACGCTGCGCCACACAAACCAGCCTGCCACCGCGCGCAGCACAAACGCCTTGCACGCGAGCACACAAACGGCCTGCACGCGCGCACACAAACGCCTGCCACGCAGCGCACACAAACGCCGCACGCCGCACACAAACGCTGCACGCACGCCACACAAACGCCTACACGCGCGCACACAATGGCCTGCACACACGCACGCACACAAACGCGCTTGCACGCGCGCACACAAACGCCTGCACGCACGCACACACGCCTCGCACGCGAGCCACACAACGCTGCACGCGCGCACACAAACGCCCTTGCACGCGCGCAAACAAACGCAGCAACGCGCGCACACAACGCCTGCACCGCGCGCACCACAACGCACTGCACGCGCGCACACAAACGCCTGCACGCGCGCACACAAACAACTGCACGCGCGCACACAAACGCTTGCACGCGCGCACAAACACACACTTATACGCAGCCACAGGCACACATGCACTCACTATCATGATCAGGTTATACTATCATGCCATCTCATACGCTATCATAAAAGCACACGACTATCATACACACTTCCACCAAATTTCAGCTCAAATTTGATAAGAATTATATGTCCAGTTAAAATGTAGGGAGGGAATATTATCGGGGAACTCTCTCTCTCTCTTTACAATGGCAAGGTCGTCAGACTTTGTAAATATGCTTTGCTTTGTGACGTGCTTGCTAACCCGTCAGAAGTGACTACAAGAAAATTGACTGCACACCCATCTCTAATCGGATTATTAGAGATCTATAATCTACTTAATAAATAAATATTTCAAAAACTGCAGCAGAAAGCACCACAGAAACAAAGGATTTTAATAAACCAATAATTTTTGCGCGCAAAGTGCTCAGCAGAACTTACTGCTCGTGAAATACGACTAATGAAATTAAATTCTGATTAAGCAACTTACAATGATTAATGAATGCATGCATACTAGGTCCATTGATTATGAAATGTTGACGAATGCTAGAGTAACTGGCACCTTTGTAGTTAATAAGTACATAACCTCTTATAGGCAAACGCGTCATTAGTTTGCTTCAATATCACTGCTGGTTACATTTGCAAGCAAACTTGAAATCGGTTGTTGATATTTCATTTTACTGTGCCGTAAATGTCATCCAGTATTCAAGCGATGACGTAAACATTTGTGCGGCCCGTATGTTTGCGCAGGCAATAAAATGGAGGTGTCAGTGGTGTAACCACGGCCACGGACTAAACATGGAAATTAAATGGAATAAAACACACGTACTAATCACGGACGCACGTGGACAGCCCTGACAAAAAGTTTCTTTATCACGGAGCGTCCATGTTTACGACAATCACTGATGAGTAGCATGCGTACGCCAGCGATGCGTGCGAAAATGTCCGCGCGAGCTCACTATTAAATCTGTATTCACACCGCTTCCCTCGCAGCGGTTTAAACTGCATAACAACTGATTCTCTAGACTTCGGATTTGCAATTAGCGCCATTCTTATAACAGCAATAATATTGTAACAACTAATACGCGTTGCTATAAGGTAATGTACTTATTAACTACACAAGGTGCCAGTTACTCTAGCATTCGTAAACATTGCATAATCAATAGACCTATTATTCCTTTAATTGGAGGCTCAAGTTTCAAGAAGAGTATAAGAGCGAAGCACCTAATACTCTTATTAAAACTTGAGCCTCCAAGGGCCTGTGTAGTTACTAACTACATGTAAATATCTCATCTTGACATTTTTACAGCAGGACATTCTTATTGATTTATATTAAGAAATCACCTGCCCTGCAGGAATTCTACGTGATTTATGCAATTTCCACATGCTTCTTCTGTGAAGATATTAATTTTCATAAATGGGAATGGCATCAACGGATGCAAGTATAAAACACACACATGTAACCTTCTTTGACCCACAGCTCCACATGTTATACCTAGTTCCCACACTGATAAATTAGTAATGCTAATATTGTTTCTATACAGGAGTACTATTGTTCCATTAGCACTGTACATATTGTTACATCAATATTTGTCATATATGTCATTACTAAATAGTTTGACTTCATTGACCGTTTCGTGACACACACCTGTCAAGTTGTATCAGGTATCTGTAAGATTTTCACACTGTCGTCACCGAGTGAGAAACCCATATGATCATCAGTTGGATAAGGAGTTGTATGTATATATCCTATTTGTTTCATTTCATTCAATATTTACATAATTAACATCACAATCCTCACACCCTATAATATCACATCTATTTTTAACGTACTGCTCACACTCCAGCAAACTGCATGCAGCGCCCTCTTTCGCACACTCAATATACCACTGCCACAATGCTAGCACTATTTTTCAAGTGGGCGGAGCTCCGGGGAAATCCAGCAAATGGCAATCCAACGGCCGCGAAGTCGCCGTCGAACAAAAACATTAGAAATTTCTATGATTTCCATGTTTGTTGGTGGACAAATTTAGATGTTTTAAGCTGAATACGCAAAAATGCATCAAAGACAATGTTCGAGAATTAGGTATATTGGCAAGCATCCGAAAAATTCATGATAAATATTAAATAAACACGTGAACGTGAACAGCGTAATGATTTGAAAGTAGTAAATGGGCGCACTATTTCGTATCATATTTTTATCAAAATTCTCATAATAATGGTTGTAATATCTTTGCAACTTTTATTAGTCCAAATCTTATTACATAGGATACGAGTAACGTGCCTGCTGTAAAACTTGTAGTAAAAAAGCGTTACAAATTGTAACCGAAATCCACTTGTGGCAGTGGTAGATTGAGCCTATGAGCGAGAGCGCCATCTGTCGTGGAGTTTGACACTCCAGTTGTACTCACTGTGAGAGCTCTGTGCAGTTGTGCTGCCATCTGCTGGTCTAATTCTTCCTTTTGCCTTTGATGGTAGATTCTCATATCCCTTCGAAATCCATCCAGCTTTTGTCGGTGCAGCTGCTCTATTGAGGTCTGGCCTTCAGTCCAATCTCCCCTATACACACATGAACAAGCTTAGAGTAAGTGCTTACGTAACAGAGCAGATCTATGCAGTTGGGCAGAATAAAAGCTATTACTTAACTCCCTAGAGAGCCATCGCTACAGAGATTTAACACAAACGAATATTTCCATCACTTTTAGGAAGTAAAGCAGAATCTAATAAAGTCAACATAAATATTATAACCAGCCGACAGAGAATAGTAGCGAGTGAGCGGTATTAAGAATTTATTTTGCCGGGATTATTTTGTTAGTAATTCGTGAAACATACATGAGCTTTTCAACAAGAGAAAACAGGGAGAAAAAAGAAATGCGCAAAGTTGTCTAGGGGAATGTTGAATTACCTTTTCATGCTTCTAGGTTTTTGCACAGCACGTGTCACACGCAGTATATATGATTGGTGAAAATCACACAACAAGGCAGTGTGTATGCAGGAAAAGCATTCATAGTTTCAGATGAAAACCACCCACAAAGATGTTCCGTGAGCAGATAACAACATACATGTCTGGAGCAAGGTAACCAAGATTCAACAAAAGAGATGCACTACGTTTGGGACCTACGAGGGCATACCTCATCAGTATTCATGAGGAAACAGTAGGTGGATGCCTTCTTCAAACAAGCACTACATGTGGGAACTGGAGAGAGAAGCCCGCTTCATACAAGCACACCATGTAACCAGCCACATACCTTCTTCCTCCTCGCCTGTTCGGCTCTGCCTTTTCCTTCGCCACGTCCAGTCTCGTCGAGTTTAGGACCCTGCAGGAACAAGCGACTACGGTGACATACAAGTTTTCATGGCGATATAAAATTGAGCCTGGTTATATACAGCCTGCATGGGTATATACACACGTTGACACATTAGCACTGCTCATACAGAACCACACAACAACAGTACAAGCAATGCGGCTGAAACTGATGCCTACACAAATGATATCAGAAGTGTATAATATAGATCCTGATGATGATGATATATATATAGATCCTCCCAATGATATTATCGCATCTCAAATACTAATAGTGAATGACAATAATAGCACGAGTGAAACAATTCCCCAAACATACCTACAGAATCAAGACAAATCAATACAAATATTACAAAGAAATTTTCAATGATAATGCATATATACAGGAGTACATATACAGCAACATGATAATACACGATATATTATCAGTGAATATTATTCACTCCTGATATTACGACATGCTCTTACTCCCGATATCCGTATAGCTGTAGCACTGCAACATATAGTAGTGCAGCTTATGATCAGCTGCTGCTATCGTCTTTGCTTATTAAGTTGTTTTGCATCGATCTCCTTCACATGGCTAACGTAATGTTTTTGTCGCATGACCGAGCAACGTCAGGGATAATCTCATCAGTTTATGCTGATGAAACAGCTGTTAACGAAAATAGTTGATAACTGTTAACAATAGTTATTAACCTTAATGTGTTTTCCTTATTACGTGGAACTGTGTGCAGCCAAGCGTATCATTAGCTGATGGAAATATTAGATTAAACTCTAGGCTTAGGTTGAGCAGTGTGAAGTGAATTTACTGCTGCATAGTCTTAATATGAAATGAAAGGGATCTGTTACCATCCTCACATGGCACGCCCCCCTTACAGTCACCCTGTCACACACAACTCCGTCCTCTCACATATCGCTTTTAACATATACTACCGGTGCAAGCAGGATCACTTCCTTTGTGCATCATTCCCCAAAGTGCACACAGATCTTCCTCCCTATACCTCCTTATGCTCACACGCCTCTCCTTCACATAAACACCTTAAGCCAAAACAAAATATAGGTGTGGTTACCGTTTCCCGACCGACCCTATTTATTCCCAGCGACCCTAAACATTTTATTGTCAATTTTCTTTAAAGTAAAAAAAAAAAAATATCAAAAAATATGAATTGGACAGTTCCTGCTTCAAAAGGCGCACTGCACATCCT